TCCACACCCAACCGCCATTTCAGAACCGGCCCTTATCTCTCTCTCTCTTCATAATTATCCTCTCTTAATAAAAACCATTGTTTGTTCTCCACAAACCATAAGTCCCCCATTAGAATTTCCTAAAAGCATCTTCACACCATTTTTCCAATGGCTGAGACAAACTCTGACCTCCCTGCCTCAGTCGTACCTACTACTGATAAACCTATGGAGACTTCCATCCCTACTAAGCCTTCTTTACCCACTCTTACCCTTCCCGCTAAAATCACACCTCACCCAGATTCCCCGTCTATCTCTATTTTAGAAACCCCTAAAATTGTTGATCCGCCCTCTCCATCTTCTGAGGTTCCCACTAGTCAAAGACCAAGTGGAGAACAAGTCCAAAACCTTGAGTCACAGGCAGTTCCGCCATTGTTGCTACCGATTCCGTAGTGGCAGTAGTGCCAATTGAGGAATAGAATGTTGTAACCATCTTTGTGGTGTTTGCTGATGGTGTACTGCATGAGATTATCTCTTAGAAAAAATGAGGTACAAGGTATGGGGGACGAAGGGGCCATTGTAACTGTTGAAGGCGATGCACTAGCAAATACTACTAGGCCCTTACATGAGGAACCTGATCCCTCTCGGGAGGACCTAGGTCAGGGCTTTCATTCCCAGGACAGTTCTGCTCCTGCATTCACTGTTGTGCCCTTGGAAATACAAATACCTGAGATGAGGTCCAGTGATGACGAGGACCTAGATAATGTGTCTCTTGATGTGTTCATAGTTAAGTGGAGGGTTGTGTCCACTCCTGCGTACTCCACCAAATGACCTACTACCAGGTTGCAAGCTAAGGAGGCCTACGACTCTACCTTTCAAAAGAGCAGAAAAAGTAGTAAAAAGCAAAGGAGGAAGCTGGTGAAAGATGGTATGCCCATAAGTGATAAAGAGATTCCTATGGTAGAGGTGGAAGAGGAAACACCAGATGAACCTGGTTCACTGGTTAGACGGTCTCAGAAAAAGAAGCAGCTTGCTTCAATAGAGAAGGGGTCAACCTCTAGTTCCAAGTGGAATGAGGTGGTGAGTGAGTTCTCGATGTCTGATGAGGATGTGTTACTCAAATCCAAGGGAAAAGGGAAATTAAGTGGTGAGAAGTCCGGCAAACGCTAGTTTGAAATTGTTCAGGAACCTGGTTCTGTGAAGAGGATGAGAAGTGAAGTCAGCCTTGGCTCAGAATGCCTGAGGCACCAAAAAGTTCTACTGGGTCGTACTTTTGACCCAACAATCTTTGAGATGGCTGGTATGCGACAAATTCTTGAAATGGTCAAATTTCAACGATGGGCGCATCTATTCCAAATAGATTCACCTAAGGCATATGAGGATGAGGTACAAAGCTTCTTTACTAGCCTCTTCCCCATTGAGACAGACCACATCTGTGCTTTGGTGAATAGAGTGGACATCGTGTTCGACGTGAAGTTGCTTGGAGAGATTCTTAAAGTTCCTACAGCTGGTGTATCCAGTGTAAATGATGTGTGTCAGTTTAACTTCAAAAATATCGTGGTAAAAGACAATGCAAACCAGAAGGAGGACCAGATCCATAAGAAAGCATTACTCCCTGTCTATCAGCTGCTGTTTGAATTGGTAAACAAAGTTCTATTGCCTCGAGTTGAGAGGAGGTCAGTGACTTCTATGTCTGACCTGTTCTTGATGGAGCAACTGGATAGCTTTACTCCTATGAGTCTGCCTGCTATTATGATTGAACACATGCAAAAGGTTGCCACATTCGAAGATGGTAATCATGTCCTTCCCTACAGGTTCTTTCTTACGCGAGTATTTAAATTCTTTGAAGTGCCACTGGGGGCAGGCAAGGTGGGGACTAAGAAGCAGACTTTCTCATAGATAACTTTGGAAGAATGCGAGCGCATAGAAAAGAATGGGGGCAGGGGTAGGAAGTACTTCAACCGTTTCACAGCTTATTAATGCTCAGAATAGTGCAGCTGAGGAAATTCGTCGGTTGAAGGCCATGAATGCTATCTTGGAAGGTCAGCAAGCCCAAGGGGTTCCGGCGTCAAATGATGAAGTAGCTCGTTTGACAAAGGAGAATGCTGATCTCAGGGCGCAAGTAGAGAACCTGAAAGTAGTACTGCTAAATGAGCAAAAGTCGGCCAATACCAGAATAGACCTTGTTCTCCAAACACTTCCTGCAGCTTCCAAGCCCTTTACTCCCAGTGCCCCCTAAGTACCCCTTCAGTGACCAGTTTCTAGAAATATTTTTTTTATGTTTTTTCTTGTTTGACAGACATTTTGTTTTCTTTTTTTTTGATGTGGTTGGGATGAAACAGTGTTTCTCCCGTCTTAACAGTCCAATGTTGCCTTGCTTTTTAAGCAAATGCATATAAATTTTTTATCAATATTAAATCTATCCTCTTTTATTATCTCATTACTTAAATTCTATGTTTCTCTTCTCTATCATGTTGTGTGCACATATATGGCATGAGTTAGCTCAGCTAGACTTCTTTATGATGTTTATCTGTTTATGCCTTTTTAATGATGCCAAAAGAGGGAATAATAATAAATAAGTGTAGTAAATAAGGAAGGCATAAAGTCAGGGGAAACTAATTGTGAAACTTGTGTTCTCCTGTTACTTAATCTGGTTCTCACTGCTCTAAATCCACTTTATCGATGTTAAGTTTGGCATCACCAAAAAGGGGAAAATTGATAGGCTTTAAATGTCCTTGCCTTATGTTTTGATGATCTAACAAACTTACTGTTAAGAACCAGGTAGGGAACTTGACCTACTTGGACTATACTGCAAGTTTAACGGATTCCAGCTAAATGTGAACTGCTACAGCTTCAGGAGCTAGGAAACCAAACAAGGACCTGATACCCTTGTGGTTCCCTTATAGCATTACAAAGTCAATTGGACACAACTGGAAACAAAGTGACCGCCTGCACTATTTATGCCACACTGCACTGTTTCCAGCGCCCACTCATTCCTTGACCAACTAAAGTGCTCACATCATTTCAAGTGATGTGATCAAGGTATACCAACAATGAGTTTATATTGAAACATCACTTGAATTTTTCAGTTTCTCATTTAAGCCTTTTGCAAAAATAGAGAAATCAATTCTCACGAGCTTGAAGAACAAAGTTGAACGCTACTACGGACCAGTTCCTAAAGTTAGTATTTTGTTGTCCTCAGTTGAGTTGTAACTTTGTGATTGTACTTACTGTATCTCCTAAATTGCTTAGCTAGAAGCGTTCATTGGGAATCCTCTTGTAAAATCCGTAAACTCTTTGAGTTTATGTTGTGACTAGGTTTAGTCATAAGCAAAAGCCTTTGTAACTGTAGAGTGACAAAGTGACTTGTGGTGAGAGCATCACAAGTTAGTGAAAGTATTTGTAACTAGGGAGTCACAAAGTAGCTTGTGGTAAGAGTACCACAAGTTAGTTGAATTGAATTCTTTGTAATGGAGTCATTACAAAGTGGCTTGTAATAGGTTTTTACAAGTTAGTAAAGTTGAAAGCCTACAGGTGTATGTCATGGTTTTTGGTCCCCTTGTGTGGGATTTTTCCACGTAAAAATCTCTTATCTCATTTACTTACAGTTTATTAGCATTCTCAGCAGAATCTCGTAGAGGACCAGGTACTCTATTGTTTGGTGGACTCATACAAACTAACATCATCATTTTTATTCTATGGAATAGAGCAACAATAAGCAAACTACAGTGGGCACTCGCACAAAAGAAAGACAAACTCTGGGTCAGGTGGATCCACAACCATTATATAAAGAAAAGGACATAGAGAACATAGATACACCTAAACAGGCTAGCTAGTTGGTGAGGAAGATTTTCGAGGCTAGAAAATGGTTAGTTTCAGGAATCAAGGAATTGAATACATATGTTGCTCAAGGAAAATACACTATCAGCAAAGCAGATACCTCAATCCAACCACAGTTTCCAAAGGTTTCATGGAAGGTATTATTCATGACACAAGGCATTCTGCCTCGACATCAATTCACCTTGTGAATGGCAATTCACCAGAGATTAGCAACAGTGGACAGATTAATCAAATGAGCGATACTAGTACCCAATGCTTGTGTCCTCTGTACAACTGATGAAAAAGAGACACATGATCACTTGTTCTTCGAGTGCCCGTACTCTAAGTTTATATGGCAGAACCTGTTACGCTTGTTTGATATTAACAGACAAATAGGTCGGTGGCAGGAAGAGGTCAACTGGCTGGCTACAAAAATAAAAAGCAGAAACATATAATGAAAAATATTGGGGAGTGCATTCGCAGCAGCAGTATAACACATATGAATGGAAAGGAACCTCAGAAATACAAAAAAAGAGAATATGAATAGAGAGAAATCGTCTTACAATTGCACATTTTGGGAGAAAAATGCTGTAAATCGAGGGCAATACTAGATAGGATAAATAGATGTCCACGTTAGCATATAGTCTGAGTTCCAGTTGTGGAACTTAAGGCTACGAAGGATATGATATTTTTGTGAGATCCGACTCTAGAGTCCAATGAGCGGGTGGTTGTACATATTTACACTTGGTTAACTAAAATTTTCAGTTTAACAAAAAAAAAAAAAATACTACATAATTGAAATCTGAATATATAAGCTAAAATTTAAAAAAAATGTTAAATAATGAAAGAATTCTAAGGAATGTGTATGTGTTATATTAAAAACAATGGTGCACAAACATATTAAGACAAATATCAAACTAATAAAAAGTTAAATTAGCAAAGTAATAATACTAAATAGTGAATAATATAATAACAATATAAAGAACGAAAAATTTATTCAATAATTATATGATTTGTTTCCTTTATCTCATAAGTATTTTATTATTTGGTATATTGTATTGAGATAAGATAGCAATTGAATTTTTGTCAAGATAATTAAATATAATATGCTCAAAATAATTTTGTTGTAATTATTGTTTTACATAATTAGTATTCTTTAATATTAATCTCGAATTCTAATACTACTACTACTATTACAATATCCTTCTATTTCTCCCTCATTTGAAGTTAAAATCTCTAAGAAAGTAATCCATGGCGAAGGTTGCGAGTAGTGGGAGCAGTTCCAGATGGTCTCTTTCAGGGTTTACCGCCCTCGTAACCGGCGGCACTCGTGGAATTGGGTAAAACCGAACTCCAAAATCTTTGTTTTTGTAAATGGATCTGCGTTTCAATTTGGATGAGTATTCCATTCCTCAATTTATGGCCATCTTTTCTTAGGCATGCGGTTGTGGAGGAACTAGCGGAACTGGGTGCGACAGTGTATACTTGTTCACGGAATCAAGCAGAACTCAACGAACGCTTGCAAGAGTGGGCAGAAAAAGGCCTTCAAGTCAAGGGTTCTGTTTGCGATGCTTCTTCAAGGGAGCAGAGAGTTCAGCTCATGGAAAATGTCTCCTCTGCTTTCGATGGAAAGCTGAACATTCTTGTTAGTTCTATAACCCCGATTCTTCTATTACACCCTCGGTTTTAGTTTAATGTGATCGTGTTTGACTGCCCATATAATCTTAGCTAGTGTTTGGACATAGATTTGATTGAAACTTGAAAAAATGAGTTTCTAAGGATGAGATGCAAAGAAGTTGTGTTTGGACATCTTTTACTTTAAAAGAATTTGAAGTTATTTAAAGTTTTATGAGTAGAAAATTTCAAAAACTACTATATAGTTATTTTTGGGATTTGAAGATTTTTGTCAAAATCTGCCAAAAAATGGTTAAAAAGAAAGAAAGTATTTTGAAACGTATGGTTTAAAATAAGACATAAATATTTGTGTGGTTATAAATCAAATAAGAAAGTTAACTAAAGATAGAAAGGTGTCATACTTTTGTAACAGGCTAAAAATGAAAAAGTCACATAAATTGAGATAGAGAGTACGGAAAAGGGCCAAATGTGTCCCTGTAGTACCCTCTGTTATACTTTCCTTCGTTATCCACCCCTACCGTTACCCATTTTAATATTTATGCCCTCACATCTAACGAACCATTTTTTAAGACACGTGACACGATCTTAAAAAGCCTAACCATCTACCCTTTTACCCTACCCGTCCAGCCCGACCCGGTATCCCTCCATTCACCCCTAAAAAAGCTTTCTGCAAAACTAGGGTTTAAAATTGATTAAACATTCTAAATGCTTTTCATGTTCACCTCTCTAAAGTGAGTTAGAGAAGATGAAGGTCGAGAATACACCAGTATTTGCATATATGTTCCTGCAATTATCGACATATGTAAAAAAATCGAACATTTTTAGAAAATGGATGTATGTATATATTAGTTAAATTTGCTTTCTTCTTTTTTCAAGAAAAGAAGCAAAAGGTGCAGAGTTTTTGTGGGTTCGATGCATTCAAATAACAGTATTACTAGTTTATTCCTAGACTTCAGATTTGTTTCTCTTTTGTGTGGGGATCACTCTGCAGCTCTCATTAGAAACTCATGCTACCATTTGATGGAGATTTTTAAAGAAGAAGAACAAGGACTCCAATTCGAAATCATACAATAACACAATAATACACTCGTTTGTGAAGTACAACTTTTTTAATATAATATACACAACTCAAGAACATAGTAATCATCTGCCCTACCCGTGATCTTAAGAAGGAAGGTGAAGAGAGAAATTAAAACAGAGGGAAATCGACTCAGATGGGGCAAAATTTTGGAGAAGAAAGCCTTTGTAGGGATGAATACGGGGTCGGGCTGAACGGGTTGGGTAAAAAGATAGATGGTTAGGCTTTTTAAGATGATGCCACGTGTCTTAAAAAAATGGTCCGTTAGATGTGGGGGCATAAATATTAAAATAGGTAACAGTAGGGGTGGATAGTGAAGGAAAGTATAATGGAGGGTACTGATAACTAATTTCCGATAGTACAGGGACACATTTGGCCCTTTTCCATAGAGAGTATTGTATTGTAGTGCTTTAAAACTGAATATAAGCCAAACGTTATGCTAACACTTAGTAGTTGCGGAGCTAGTTTGTTTGAACTATGAGTAGTATTTCAATTTATATGTGACTTCCATCAGGAACCAATTTAGCGAATCTCAACATTGTTAACACCAGGTGGATCCACGATCTGGAAACCATGGGTGTACACCATCTTTTCCTTAATATAGGCATGCCACTAGCCACAAAAATATGAGTGTATATGAGTCAGTTTGGTCAATTTTGAGTTCTGTTTGGGTTACTAAGTTGTTGGTTCATATGCAAATAAACTGATCATCCACCTGAGAGTTTGATTTTTCTTTTAATTCAATCTATTAAGTAAAATTAGAAGCTGAATTAGGAGACAAAATGTTAACAAGTCAGGAAAGCATATCTATCAGTTATATTATTGGATAAAAATTAAAGTTTTTCAAAGAAGGTGTGAATCGAGATTAGCTTTTTCAGGAAGAAATAAAAGATAAGGACAAAAGAGGAGTCGCACATGTAAAAAATAGGGATGATATTCACAAGGAGATCCTTAATAGTGATTGATGAGTGACAGAGTCTTCAGTTTCGCCATGCACATGAGTGCATAGTAATGATATATAGCCATTATAAACATATTATGTCTATATTTTTCAGGATTTTGGCCAATAGGAAGGGTGCGCATACACCACGATTTATCACTGGTTAGTACTGGTTTAATGGTGAAAGAATAGGACATATAGATAGAAAAGAGCTTACTTAGCATTAACATTATAGGTTCTCTTAGACTATAGTCTATATATGTGATTGTTAAGGTTCTCATTTGAATGGTGTTGTCGCATGTGTTTTCAGACTCTAAATTCCAATACGATCCTTTAAAGCTTCATAAGGATTTTTACTTGTTATTTGTGCAAAAAAGAAGTCCTACAGAAACTGTTGATTCCCAATCTGTTGCTCTTGTACGTGTATGTTTCTGTTTTTAGATGGCCCAATTTTCAGACAGTGTAAATTTTTTTTGAACCACATAATTGTCATATCTTCTGGCCATAGGTAAACAATGTGGGGACAAACATTAGGAAGCCCACCACCCATTATACTGCTGAAGAATATGCCCGTCTGCTTAGTACCAACTTAGAATCTGCATACCATCTGTGTCAACTTGCTCACCCTCTTTTGAAAGCATCTGGAAATGGATCTGTTGTCTTTATCTCTTCTGTTGCTGGTCTGGTGCACCTGTCCTCTGGTTCAGTATATGGAGCAACAAAAGGTTAGCTGTACTAATACTATCACTCTTTTGAGTTGTTAAACAATTGAAGATAGAGTGTTGAGTTTTTTTTTCTTTACTAACTTCAGGGGCATTGAATCAGCTCACGCGAAATCTGGCTTGTGAATGGGCAAAAGATAGCATTCGGGTTAATGGTGTTGCCCCGTGGTATATAAGGACGTCTTTGGTAGAACATGTAATATTCTTCATCTTGCTTATGCATTTGAGTTTATGAATCTCTTCGTGCAAGTACTTGCCGATTGAAGATACAAGTTACCTGAGGCAAAACATTTCTTTGATTTCGCCGAGGCCCACACGGAGGATTTACACGTTTTTCATTTATTAATTCTCTCAAGTTGTGTTTGGTGCATACTGCAGTTCAGACTACTTAACAGGCTCACAAAATGACCTTTTAAGAGTTTTTACAGTCATAAGAAAAAACTAAATATACGGCATGCCACACAATGAGCACATAGCAAACTATTCTTTTGCCTTGTGCTAAAGAATACCTGTGCCTGTTGCACAAAGTGGCATAGGTCAAATTGAAAAACAGCCATTGCACAAGAACATGGGTTAGCCGTCATCTAACTTATAGACTCAAATTAACTGTACTGTATAATAAGTCTTGTATTTTTTAGCATGAACTTACATGGTGTATCATAAATGTGAAAATAGCTTGTCATGAGCTTTATAATAACTACCTAATTCATTATGTATATCGTCTGAAGGATCTTCTTCTTCTTCATTCAGTCTTTGGAACCCTTTAACCTGATTGGTCTGGATTCGCACTGCGTAGGCCCGTTAAAGAGGGGACCGTTCCTTACTAGGGGTTTCTTCATTCCAAGGGCTCGAATTTGAGACCTCCGGTTAAGGGTAGAGGGATCTCATTCATCCCACCACACCCCTTGGTAATATCTATTGGATCTTCTGCATATTGTTTTATACAACTTGTATTCCTGTTGCATTCATTTAAGGAATGTATTGGATGTTGAGTAAATAACTGGTAGCAATCTGCTAAAGCACTTGTATTCATATAGACCCTTAATATAATTTCATGATTTTCGGTGTTTCATTTGGAAAAGGAATAGCATATGGCGAATAGTTACTGTGCTTTTCCAGGTCTTTAGATCTATGTTTCAATCATTTTCCAGTGTTGTCAAAGGCTCATTTAAGGTGTGTTTTAGCTCTGAAGCTCAGAAAAGCTCAGGGAGCGTGCTTCCACTCGCTTAAGCTGTGCTTCAATGTAGGGAAGGCACTAAGGTACCGTGCCTCATTGCCCATGAGCTCTATCTTGATTCAAGCGGTACTAAACAACAAATATAACCGGCAAATAAGTTAAGGAAAACATTACGAATGAACTTGTTACTTTTTTCTTGAATACATATATATTTTTTATTTTTTCCCTTCATTGCACTTTTTAAAGCTAAAGCCCACACTTTAATAAAGCCCCAATAGACATGGAGCACGTCTTAGAACTTTTTGCCTTTGACAGCATATTTTTCCTTTGAAATCATACTTTTTTTTTGTGAATAAAGTTTATTTAATTTCATATTCTTATATTGTTAAGCATATTTAACTGTGGTAAAATATTTATAGAAGTGGCATTTGACCGGAAATGGTTAACCCTGTCTTTTAGTATCTTTTTGTTTCCTAAAAGGAAAAAAATCCCCTGAATGTGACAGGAAAATTTGTATTTGCTGACTTTTCTTTGTGTAGAGAATTATGTCATGATTGCAATGTTTTCGAAGACTAGAGTTTCTTTTGGTTATATGTATTGTCAAAACATGTTGATGATTCATATCTTAATGGAGCCAATTTCATTTCTTGTGGAGAATGCTTCAGGATTTTATATGTGAGCACTGAGCAGTAGCAGCTTGAGAGATTTGTTAACTGGAGTTAATGTTATTGAATCTAGCCCTTCCTGGAGTTATATTTATATAATCTTTTCACTTAACTGCATATTCTCCAATTTTTGCTGAATTTTATGTTTTTCTTTTGCAGTTGCTCGAAAATAAAACATTTTTGGATGGAGTAATATCTAGAACTCCCCTTAGACGCCCTGGAGAATCTCAAGAAGTTTCATCCCTGGTAGCTTATCTTTGTCTACCTGGAGCATCGTACATCACCGGGCAAGTTATAGCAGTTGATGGAGGTTTCACAGTCAATGGGTTCGAAATGACAAGCTACTGATATGTGTTTTCGTCTAGAGATGATAGTGCAGCTTATGCCTTGCGTCTGCAGATACTCATGCTCTTTGTTTCTTACTGATCAAGCTGAAACCATCATGAAATAAAAGCTCTATTTCATATCTTCCTTGATCCTTATACATGGGATCATAATAAGGCATTTGCTCATTAATTTTCCCTGCATGCCCCTTCTTATATGAGTATAAACTCTAGTTTTTTTATCTTTTTCTTATATTTATCTAAGAACAGCATATGATTGTGTTGCAGGTTGCGTATCATGCTATGTTATTTCTGAGCTTTGCACGTTCCTTAAGGTTCCTTTGTTGTAGTGCAATTCTGTATTTCATCCTTGTTGAGAAGGTAGTGCAATTCTGTATTTCATTTAAACTGTAGGATGGGAAACTTTTTGATTATTTGCACATGTTTGTATAGGATTATGCAAAGGCAGAATACCTTGAAACCTCTCTAAACTTGGCACGAATTATTAGTTATAGTCGTAAACTATTTGTGGTCTTAATTACCTCCTTGAACTTGGCCTTTTGAGAGTCTTTACCCCCTGGATGTTGATGTGTCAAAGTGTGTGGGTGCACTCTCTTTTAAGTGTGCGAGAGTGAAGAAAAATCGAGAAATCAACTTTCAAGTAGGTTATTTTTTAACTTTTAATGTCATATAGTCATATATAATGATTTATTTGCTATAACTATGTATTTCTTGTTGCTTCATCTTAACATACAATGTGGACTTTACTCTTACTTTTATTCTTTTTAATTTCTTTTATAGATATATTGTCTATTTGTTCTAACTGCATATTTCTTCTTTTTTTTTTTTGGGTCAAATTTGTAAAAAGTTTGGTTGGAACTCCATCAATGCCAAATAGAATACTTTTAGCAAAATAATGGAGTACTAGTTGTGTATTTTCTGTTATTTTTTGCGTTAGATATAATTGCTATTTATTTTAATTGTGTATTTTTATTTTCGAGTTAAATCAGTAATAAAAAACTGGCTACAACTCCATTATTTTTTATCAAGTAAAAAAGGTATAGCCAAAATAGTGAACTTGCAATTGTACACTCTTTTTCTTTCTTCTTTTGTTGCAATGACTATTTGTAGACATGTGATTTTTGACCCTCCCAAAATTTTTTATATTTTAGCACGTAAATATTTAATTTAGGCCTAATATAGCTATTTCAACTCATTTTTACTCTTTTACCTTATTTTATCACAAGAAAATGAAATTTACAAAAACTATTTTAGTTTATGCATCTTTCATGAATTTAAATAAAAATATACAAAAATAGTAGCTTATTTTTATTTTTATATATAGTCTTGAAAATACAAAAATAGTTTCATTTTTTAATATAGTTTAGTTTAATTAATCAAAATTAGTTTTATATTTTTATATTATAATTATATAATTTTAGAAGGAGGAATTAGTTTTGGGTTGGTTTATCCCGTCGTTATGAATCTTGTAGTCCATTTTTTCAGTCTTTGGCCCAATTTCCTAGCCCATAACTCCTAGGCTCATACCCCTAACCTAATCCCTACTACTATATAATATTACTAACACCTAAAAGGAGAGGAGAAGATCAGATCTACCAAAAAAGAAAAGGGGCAAAAATCTGCGCATAGCAGGAGGATTATAGATCCCTCCTCATCGAGCTTCTTCTTCTTGAACGAGAGACAAGAGAGTCACTGCTCATCTGCTTCTTCTTCAAAACCGGCGATAACATCAGGCCACTTCAAGCTCGCCGGAGAAGACTCGTTGTTGACCCCACCCCCTGACTTCGTTTTCTCCAAAGGACCCCCCCCTGTCGTCATCTTCTTCAATGGAGACGAGTCCATTCCCTTACATCTCTTAAAGGCCCTAGCTTCTTCATCACCTTTCCGATTCTGTGAAGTTTTAGCCATCGATCCAAAACCAACAGCCCCTGCTTCCTCACTCGATCTCAACCACAACAGCCATCAACAACCTTCCCACGTACAGCCAGCCGTTACACCCACCAGACCTAAGCTTCAGCGACATAACACATACACACAACCAGGTTTTCAGCAACATAGAGTTTAATTAATGTTTGGAGCCGGATTTGAGTTTGAATCGTGTGGAGGTCGCCGTTAAAGGCAGCCCGTTCCGAATCCGACGAGGTTTCGATTTTGCTTGCGGTTTCTTGCTCGACTCTGCTGCTATTGTTTCGCTTGAGTTTGAAGTTAATATCTGAATCAGTTGGCCTATTTTCTAATTTCAGGTCCATTTCTTTTCATTAATCCTACCTGATATCGATAATGGACTTGATATTTCTTGAATGTGTTTCTTGCGCTTTCTTTGTTCATTAGCTAGTAACCTCATCATTTTGGATTACTGGTTTATATATGTTCGACCATCATGAAGGCTATTGTCCTGATTTATTGTATCGTTTAACTTTTGGATGATTTAGTCAACACGTAGAGTGGCTGTAATGGGACTTTGGTATATTTAAACTGTGCGAAGAAATGACAAAATGAAAGAACAAAGAGGAAGATATTTTTGGGTAGTGTTAGCTGGATCCGTTGCTTGTTTTCCCAGTTTCCTATTGCTCTCCATTGCTGCATTTATTAAATGTTTTGTTAAGTGTTTAGACATGTCCGTTTATATCTTAGCATGAACTGATCACATGTTTCTCGTAGTGGTCAAATTAGCTCTATCTCTACAACATTCTAATAATAGTAAATGTTGTTAGACACTGAATACTACATACAGAAAGTGGATGATGATTAACATACTCAAGTTGTTGCAGCCAGGGATTTATTGTTTGCTTCGGTCATTATGCTATAGGATGTGATGTATTTCATTTTACTAGTACCTAGTAGTATGTATTTTGGACATTTGAGTGGATTAATCTAGAGCCTTACAATCTCCTAATTGAACGCGGTTATTTTAGAGCGAGGCTTGCCATCAGTTGAATTTTTTATGGCCTTCGCAAACTTTGTTATTAATTTGAACTTCCGTAGTCGCTTTAGGCGCGACATTAAATAACATTACCTTCCTAAATTCGGGTGTGCATTTCATGTGACCCAAATCAAAATCTTAAAACGTTGACTAAATGTGTTTATGATTGCGGGTGCATTTCATGTGGCGTGATCCAAAGACACGTTTTAAACAACGTTCAATCTTCTTTAAAAATTAAATAAAAGCGGTTAAAAGTTAAAATTTGCGCATAGGTTCTTAATTGTGTAAAATCAGATAATTAAGCCGAATATAACAGTTGAGCGACCGTGCTAGAACCACGGAACTAGGGAATGCCTAACACCTTCTCCCAGGTTAACAGAATTCCTTACTCGGATTTCTGGTTCGCGGACTGTTAAACAGTGTCAAGCTTTTCCTCGATTTGGGATTCAACCGGTGACTTGGGACACCATAAATCTCCCAAGTGGCGACTCTGAATCTTTTAATAATAAATCCCGTTTCGATT